CCAATAGGGAATGTCCATTTAACGTTCAAGGACACCATTAGACTTAACATGATAATTATTGATATATTTATCCGAATATCCTGATACCTCCCTTTTTTGAAGATCCGGAGTTGGTGTCCGGATTTTAAAATTTTTCCGCGTCCATCCTACCCCGCGAAATAGTGTTGGGTCCTCATATCCCCAAGTTACAATTAATTCGACCTTATTTAAAACATGTTTCCCGCATTGAGTGTAGAATCCACTAGAAATGACTAGATGGTAATGAACGATTTTTGATTTGAGGTCAGAGTTTGGTTCTTCTGAAGCATTTATTTTCAAATTCATTAAGAATCTCATCAGCGGATAATGGGTCATTAGGAAAATCAACATCAAACAAAATTAAATTAGATCTTTGACCATCATTTGACTCAGCCGATATATTTTCCTCATTTTTGTAAGAAATTTCATCAAAATTATGTGCATTATTATCAGAACCCATATCTGGTACATTGTCATTAGAAACTGGATAAGTTGATTCAATATAAAGGATCGTTTTGAGGAGGCGTCATTTAATTATTCTAAAAATAATATGAATGATTTTTCATTCTTATTTTTCGATTCTTTTGGCTCAACAACATTTTATCAATCATCCCCAACACCAGCGTAATTGAAGTTATGGATTTATCTTATATGGCAACCAAGTGAAAATATATCTAACTTCATCGGTCCAAGCATAACTGATTTCATAGTCTTTCCAAAAGGTTGTACACTTTTAGTTTTGAAAACAGTGATGGAATTTATTGGAACAGCTGCGTTTTCGTTATTTTAGTGATATATATATATATATATATATATATATATATATATATATATATATATATATATATATATATATATATATATATATATATATATATATATATATATATATATATATATATATATATATATATATATATATTTGAAATGCGTGCATCATATTACTGTTACGTTAACAACAGTTTGTTGACATTCGCAACAAGAGTTTCAGTTTAAAAAAGCTTATTCAAGTCTAGTTTTAAACATTTATGCCTTTGTTTTATCTGATTATCTGTTTCAAACTATTTGAGATTGAATACCCTAACTTTACGCCTCAGTTTGGTAAAGTAGAGTAACCTCAACAATTATTAGGGATCACTTTTGTATTTTTACAGTTTGTGTGACAGATTATTTATATTAAAATAATTTTTCTTTTTTGCTTTCAAACGTAAACTGGTGTCCTAAATACTCCGATTTTTTTCATCTAAAATTGCATCAGGAATCCTTATCGTTGAAAAAAATGGAGAGCTAATTCACCTTTCTCTTTCAATCTGTGGTATCACAGGTGTTTATGGATTAGTGTGTGTCAGTTCATGCATGATTTATCGTTTATTTGGTTATTAGTATTTATCAGGATTTTCCTGATAGGTGTTTTGAGTTTGTATGAGCTGACCAGTGATACCTATCTTAAACATAAACATAATCGTTGCTCCTTCAGGTATCATTTAACATTGAAATCAAGAATTTCATTATCTTTGTTAGGAAAATTAAATCATACTATTGGGTCACAGAGTGGAAGTTCCTGAAGTATTGTCAGTTCTTTCAATGGTAAAAACACGCCTTACTGATGATTGGTACTATACAGGTCATATTTGAACATCCAGCAATAAGGCAAGCTCATACCAGCGTGAAGTCGTTTAGCATAATCGCCATTTTAGCAAGATTGTTTGAATTCTATGGACATAAGAACTATACAAGTCAACAGTCATATATTTATTCATTATCTTTGAAAGGACCTAACTATTCTGATGGGAGATCTAAATGCCAAATTCGAAATAGACAACACTGGATATGAAGATATTATGGGACGACATGAACTGGGAGAAAGAAACGAAAATGGAGAAAGATTTGCAAATCTATGTGCATTCAACAAATTGGTCATAGGAGGCACAATATTTCCACACAAGCGTATACACAAGGCTACATGGATCTCACCGGACCACACTACAGGGAACCAAATAGATCATATTTGCATCAACAAAAAATTCCGAAGGACAATGGAAGATGTGAGAACCAGGAGAGGAGCTGACGTAGCTTCAGATCACCACCTAGTTGTAGCCAATTTGAAACTGAAGCTAAAAAAGAACTGGACAAGTGGACAAACAGCAATACAAAGGTTCAATACAGCCTTCCTTCCAGATACTGACAAACTCAATGAATTCAAGATAGCTCTCAACAACAGGTTCCAAGCTTTACAAGATCTACTGAAAGAAGAAGAAACTACTATGGAGGACAACTGGAAAGGCATCAAGGAAGCATTAACTTCAACGTGTCAAGAGGTTCTCGGTCTAAAGAAATACCATTATAAGGAATGGATCTCTACAGAAACACTGGACAAGATCAAAGAAAAAAAGAACAAGAAGGCAGCAATAAACAATAGCCCAACATGAGCAGAGAAAGTCCAAGCACAAGCTAAATACATAGAAGCAAACAAACAAGTGAAGAGGAGCATTAGAGCCGACAAGGAGAAATACGTGGAAGAACTAGCAACGACTGCAGAAAAACCTGCTAGAGAAGGAAATATGAAACAGCTTCACGATACAACGAAGAAACTAGCATGGAAATACAGTAAGCCAGAGAGGCCGATCAAAGACAAAGAAGGCAAGCCAATCACCGAAATTCAACAACAGCGTAACAGACAGGTAGAATACTTCGAGGAACTCCTGAATAAGCCGGTTCCAATGAATCCACCGGACATCGAAGCAGCACACATAGATCTTCCTATAGATGTCAACCCACCAACGACGGAAGAAATCAGAATGGCCATCAGACAAATCAAGAGCGGGAAAGCAGCAGGACCCGACAACATACCAGCTGAAGCACTGAAATCAGACATCGAAGTAACTACAAACATGCTTCACCTTCTATTCAAAAAGATTTTGGAGGAGGAACAAGTGCCGATGGACTGGAAAGAAGGACACCTCGTCAAGATTCCAAAGAAAGGAGATCTGAGCAAATGTGAAAACTACAGAGGCATAACACTACTGTCAATACCAGGGAAAGTCTTCAACAGATTGTTGCTGAACCGGATGAAGGATGCAGTAGACGCCCAACTTCGAGATCAACAAGCTGGATTCCGTAAGGATCGGTCGTGCACAGACCAAATTGCAACACTACGGATCATCGTCGAACAATCAGTTGAGTGGAACTCGTCACTATACATCAACTTCATTGATTGCGAAAATGCATTTGACAGTATGGATAGGAGGACGTTATGGAAACTTCTTCGACACTAAGGAGTTCCTGAGAAGATTGTCAACACTATCCGGAACTCATACGACGGACTACAGTGCAAAGTAGTGCATGGAGGACAACTGACAGATGCATTACAAGTAAGGACCGGAGTCAGACAAGGCTGTCAACTCTCTACCTTCCTTTTTATCCTGGTGGTTGACTGGATTATGAAGACCTCGACATCTGAAGGAAAACACGGCATACAATGGGCAGCTTAGAATCAATTAGACGATTTGAACTTCGCAGATGACCTAGCCCTCCTATCACGTACACACGAACAGATGCAGATGAAGACAGCCAGTGTAGCAGCAGTCTCTGCATCAGTAGGCCTCAGCATTCACAAAGGGAAAACCAAGGTCCTCAAATTCAAAGCGGAGAACAGCAATCCAATCACACTTGATGGCGAAACTCTGGAAGATGTAGAATCCTTCACATGCCTAAGAAGCATCATCGATGAAGAGGGAGGTTCAGATGCAGACGTAAAGGCGAGGATCGGCAAAGCAAGGGTCCCATTCCTACAACTGACGAACATATGGGACTCAAAACAACTTTCAACCAATATCAAAGTGAGAATCTTCAATACGAACGTCAAGGCAGTTCTACTGTATGGAGCTGAAACTTGGAGAACTACAACAACCACAATCAGGAAAGTACAAGTATTTATAAATAGCTGTCTACGCGAGATACACAGCATCCATTTGCCGGATACCACCAGCAATAGCCTTCTGTGGGAGAGAACAAACCAACTTCCAGCTGAAGAAGAAATTAGGAAAAGACGATGGAAATGGATAGGACATACATTACGCAAATCGTCGAACTGCATCATGAGGCAAGCCCTAACTTGGAATCCTGAAGGGAAGCGAAAAAGAGGAAGGCCAAAGAACACATTGCGTCGGATAATAGAAGCAGATATGAAAACGATGAATTACAACTGGACGGAGCTAGAAAGGATTGCCCAGGACAGGGTTGGATGGAGAATGCGGGTGAGCGGCCTATGCTCCTTCACGAGGAGTAACAGGCGTAAGTAAGTAAGTAAGTAAGTAAGTAAGTAAGTAAGTAAGTAAGTAAGTAAGTAAGTAAGTAAGTAAGTAAGTAAGTAAGTAAGTAAGTAAGTAAGTAAGTAAGTAAGTAAGTAAGTAAGTAAGTAAGTAAGTAAGTAAGTAAGTAAGTAAGTAAGTAAGTAAGTAAGTAAGTAAGTAAGTAAGTAAGTAAGTAAGTAAGTAAGTAAGTAAGTAAGTAAGTAAGTAAGTAAGTAAGTAAGTAAGTAAGTAAGTAAGTAAGTAAGTAAGTAAGTAAGTAAGTAAGTAAGTAAGTAAGTAAGTAAGTAAGTAAGTAAGTAAGTAAGTAAGTAAGTAAGTAAGTAAGTAAGTAAGTAAGTAAGTAAGTAAGTAAGTAAGTAAGTAAGTAAGTAAGTAAGTAAGTAAGTAAGTAAGTAAGTAAGTAAGTAAGTAAGTAAGTAAGTAAGTAAGTAAGTAAGGTAATGAACTATAGTGTAGAGAATTGGTGCAAGACTTATCTATTTACTCTTCATTATAATCAGCATTAATAAACATATTATGAGAATGGGTTTTGTGGAGAGTTTTAGAAATTTCACAGGTTGAAATCATGAGTCGATTGAAGCTAGACCACTATGGAAAACCTGGAAGCAACGAAACGGCCGTCCAGTGCTTCCAGGTTTTCCATGGTGGTCTAGCTTCAATCGACTCATGATTTCAACCTGTGAAACATATTATGATTATCAGTAAGCATTCTGCAGTCTAACTTTAAGTTTTATATAAATATTTGATTATCACATAGTTGATTTTAATATTGTGGATGTATATATCAGGTTTTAGAAGTGAGTAATTTTCTTATGCATTTATTTCGAAATCTTATCACCTTGTAAAAGTAGTTGATTAGTGAGAATAAATGGTTGTACATCAATATGCACCAGTTTTACATATTTTATCACAATACAAATATCCATGTATTTTATGATAAGTTTGATTACATGAACATTTCAGTTTCCTAATTATAGTTACATTAAATGAACGATGAATTAGAATTGTTTGTGCTATTCGGTAAAAGTAACACGATGTTAAAGTCAGTGAAGTGGATAATGATACTGTAAAATGTTATATTAGTTAATCATACAGGAAAAAGCTTGTTTGAATCAGTAAAAAAGCAAACAAACAAAATAACCGATATTGAATTCCATTCATCTCTTCTAACTCATTAAAACATTTAAGGTGAATACAAACAGTGGATATGTTGTTTTAGGACACATCACATTCAAATGAATCAATAAGTGTACAGCACCGATGTTTGTGTGTGCGCACATGGTTAGAAATTGAATTATCTTCACACTGGTTTACTAATGACGCATTGATAAGTTTTCTTCACTTAAGATTATTTGCATACATACAAATTTTATAAATGATATAGTTAACCAGCAGGTATATTTGTTAAAAACGTACATTTATGTTCTTTTTTTCTAATGTTTACTAATTCTGATGTCTGGCCATTTTATTGTTGTTGTTAAATGATATTTTTAGGATTTGCCGGACCTAACCAAAAATCGTTGTTGAACTCTCATTCAGCGGCTTGTATATGATAACGGTAGAAGCAGTTCCCGAAAAATATACCCTGAAGCTTTAGATCACTCTCCAAGTCTTATACTAAGTTAGGAAATCTTAGCATTAATAAATTCGAATCGTGCTTATTGACACAAGTTAAGAAATATTGACTTGCATTATATAATTATGTATTAAACATTTTAGTTTACTTGGATATTTAGTATTAAGCGTCTTATAGAATAAATATTTGAAATGATGAAACTGACCTCGATCATACTTGTGAGGTTTACCATCTACATGATATATCTCAGATTATTCGGCAGATGTTTGTCGAAGAATATCAGCCTGATTCATTTTTTTAAAATATGAACTACAATTTTTGTTGGGCAAAACTATTAGTTTCAAAGCTAAGAGACAATCAAACGATTCATATACACTCATATCTGGTATCGTAAAATTTCAACAATTTATGTTCATTATGCAGTCCAATAAAGAAGTCGATGGATTTGCATAAGTTTTCTTTCAGGTACTTTGATTATTCGCAAGGGAAAAAATTTCTTGATAAACAAATTAAGATTATGAATAGGAAAAAAGTTATTGGCGGGTTTTTTTTGTTCCTCCATTTTCAAAAAGAATCAGTCTTGTTATTCTAAACATCATATGTTACTATTTAGTTATCGAAATTATTACTGTTAGACAAACAAATTAAAGATAAATTGTTAACTTTTTAGTGGTTTTTAAATTGTATGAATATCCCTTGATGAAATGTGTTCAAGGATATATATATATATATGGTTTCTATAGTTTGTTACCTTTTTGGGAGATTGAATGCTTTAGCTTTGGGAAAAATCACCATTCCGCTTGAAATGAATGGCACTTATATAAAGTATATGTGATTTGTGATGCTCAGTCGCTTGAAATTACGCTAATAAATTAATGCTTTTCTAGTCTTACCAGCTATTTTTTTAAAAAATTCTTAGCTTTTCCGTAACCTTCTAATGCATTGCATAGACAAATTATAAAAGTAGTCAGTAAAACTTGGCCGAATTTCATATTCAATTGAACGTTATAACTAAGCGCCTTGGGATAGATAATTTTGATTTGTTTTCAATTTTGTTCAAGTTGAGAACATTTTCTTATTATCTCAGGTCACAACAGTTTAAGACTGATGGTAAATAAATTCACTGTGAATAAAGCACATATTTATAACTCTACTCTTAAACTCTGTGTTGATGAAATAGTTTAAGTAAGTATTATTTTATTTATTTATCACTCTTTGGAAAAATTGATATTTATGTGTTATTTTCTATGATGATTTATTAACTTTCTCCATGTTTACTTTACGATGGTAGAATAAACTAATAATTCATACAGTCTTTCTAATTTTATATTACTAATCATGTTGATCGTCTCAATATTTCAATTAAGAATTCATTAAGCCAACATTTAAGAACAGTTAATTGAACCATTTGCATGCTTGAAATGTTATAGTTTGTTAACACTTTTAATAATTTCTTAGTTAAGAATAACTAATTCATAAGTTCGCTCCTGTTAGTTGGATATTTTCCTTTATCCTTCGCTATCTGCAGTAATTATTTTAAATTTATATTAAGTTTCCATTCACAGTTGTTTTGCACTGAAGTACATAAGTAGATTAAAGTTAATGCTGTTACGTTCGCGTCTTTAAAAAGAGAGAGAAGTCATAAGCCTTTTGTTATTGTACAAATTGTCACTATGTTTAATTTAAAATGCTTTCATATGTTATTTTTACTACATTATGTCCAGTAAAAATAACCGAATTCCCAACTTCAGTCATCCAGATAGGCCGATAACTTATATGATAATGGAATTCCTTTAGTAAGCAACCAATCACTGAGTCCATCTGCTGGATTCGATTAGAAGTCATTGGTTCATTTAGTTTATTCGATCAAGGACACGAGAAAGCTAAAGGTTGAGAACGCCAACCATCGTAAATTTTGAAGATACTTTGTTTGATCACGGGTGACATGTAATGTTTATGATTGAGAACTCATAGACTAGAAGAAAATAACGCCTTATTATCAATGACAGTTCAAACGACCATTACATATAAATTAAAATGTACCGCATCTCACAAGCCAGTGACTATCTGAATTCAGTAGCTTAATGGATAAAGTGGTGGCGTTTGAGGTTAGTTGTACTGGGCTGGAGTGCCATGGTGAATTTTTGGTGGGAGATTATAGAACAATGAAGTACATAAAGCAGTAGCCTTTCGGTTGAAGCACCTAACTATCAACCACTGAATCTCAAACATAAACTTCCCATCTACCTTAATTTTCTAGTCTAGTTGTATACCTGTTTGATATACTATAAATCTGTGACTGAAAGCAAAAAAAAGTAAAAATGTATTTGGTTACTAAGTCGCATCAGTTTAAATGTAAATTATCAACGTTAAGATTATGGTTAATCGTTCAGAAGGGGTCCCATCTTCAACACCTGAAAGTTATTTACTAGAAAATATATTTCACTAACCAATAATACTTCAAGCTCAGTTTACTGAGAGTAATACAAGATGTTGTTTTGGGGGACATGTAATATACATATATATACTCCTCTTTGGTCAATTGAATTATAAATATCTGAGGCATCAGCTAACCAGTTCGTCATTCAGTATTATTACCTACAACATCAGGGAATTACGGTGGTGAAGGACAATATTTTACGTTTAAGATGATTTTGTAAATTAACCCTTACTGTTAAGTGATGTCGAAAAGAAATAAAATTGATCATTTGAGTTTTTCTAAATGTCTCCTTAGCACACATAACACCAAACTTAATACATTATGATGTTTAGTCATTCGGATTACTGGTTACTTTGAAAATGTTACTAGTCAATACTAAATGCTGGTAAAGATCATAATATTTGCTATCATTCTACTAATTAGTATAAATATCTAATATTTTCATGTGGAACGTGTTGAAAATTGAAACAAATATATGGGCCTAACTCTAAAGTTTTAAACGATAACATCAATATTAATAAGTCTGTTTTAAATTTATTTGTCTTTATGAGTGATCATAACAACCTTACACATTCATTACAGTGCTTTAAAGAGCATGAACACGTATCATCGTTCAGGTTTATACTGAATGATCATATTTCTTTAATTAATCATTAATATAAACTGCATGTACATGATATTTCTAAGTAGATGAATATTACGTTGAATGTTAAACTTGACTAGTCTATCTACGACAACAAAATAGATTGATTTTCCAGTCAAACACATGCTTAGAAATCATGATTCATCTGTTATAAAGAAACTTTACTTGCTCATTTCTTTTTTAAGTGCTTATGATGTTGCCAAGAAAGACAATGAGTGCTTCACAACTTGATCATTTAGCTCAGAAAACACAACACCAATACTATAATCATCGAAATTTTCTCTGCTTATAACTAAATAATATAAACATCACTAAAATGACTTCAAACATTTCCTGAGTTGTATTGGTATTAGCCTTTGTGATCAATTAAATATTGGAATGTTTGTAAAACCTGAATTAAACTCAGGCAACAGTGCGTTTTTATCACTCACATAATAGATATGGAGGTTTAATAACCGTCTTAATCTGTATAGATCACTCGAATTTTCTAGAACCAGCTTGCGACTGACAAAAACAGAAATTATACATTTAGTATACCATCGAAAATAAAGTATTTAATACGGGCAAGCACTTTTGTCATATGAAGATATATAAAATAGCTGTTGATATATGGGTATCGGCTAACATTATTTCACTTTAATGATATGGTGAGTGAAAATTATTTAAACTTCCAAATATTTCAAAGATAAAGTTTTTCCTTGTTTGGGATCACCTGAAGATCAGGATGACTGTTTCACTTTCGGAAACAAAAAATATTTATGACCCGTATACATTTAAACGGCTTTATGTAATTAGTTAGAAAAAGTATTTGAAGTTTCAGTAAAGTGAATATTATTTGGTTGATTTACCCCAATGCAACTGTCACCTAAACACAATTACATGCTATGAAAATAAAGGTGACAATAGGGGGATTCTTTCGTATCTATTTCTTGTTAAAGAAAAGAAACAGGTGCTTACTAATCATGCTTACGTTGTGTATGACTTTTAAGAGTGGAAGAAAACTGAAATAATACCAAGTGAACTGAAATTCACCCCATTACACAAGCAAGTGGGTATCAGGACTCAGTAGCTAAGTGGATAACGCGATGGCGTTTGAAGTAAATGGTACTGGGTTCGATTCCCAGAGTGAACATCAACTCTGAGATGCAGGTACATCCAGCTGACGAGTCCCAAATAGGACGAGACGCGCGTCCTGGATCCCACTGCTAGCCGCTATCCATCATTGCTTACAAAAAATATTTTAAATAATGTTTCTGTTTTTCCTGTCTGCAAAACTCCTTTTTATTGTTGTTTTCACATAATGTTAAATCTAAAACTGTTGGCAACTAGATCGGAGAGACAAACGGTGACAATAGTTGTCATATTAATATTAGATACAAGCGAAAATGGTAAATGAAATAGGACTAAAACTAGGACAAAAATGTAAGTCAAGGAAATATATTGTGATGTTAGCCATTTATCGGTTGTCATATCATTAGGGAATGGGTAAGCTGTAGCCACATATTTGCGATTATTAAAAAATACAACGTGCTTATGGTACACTTTATTTGGGTACATTCATTTATTTCTTAAACAAGAAAAAATCATGTGACATAAAGTAATGGCAGCTTTAAAAAAGAAGAAAAATCACCGGTTAAACAATCGTAACCCTCCTCTCGATAAATTTACTAAGGTTATCTGATGCAATTAAAATGTTTTCCTATAGTATTTAACCCGGAAACCTTTGTAAGTAAGCACATATCATAATTAAATTATATATTTAATAACCTGTGATCCGAGCCTTGAATCGTGCAATTTTTGAATCACGAGGGTTTGTAAGTGAAATTTCGGTTCACCTTAAAACTATGGCTCATTCAACATATTTACTTCGAGTTCATTTTTATTTGTTAAAGTTTATTTACTAGATTGATGGTGTTTCATTTTCATATTGTTATCTTAGAATGTGAAGATAAATGTAGAACTAGCAAAATGCAAATAGTGATAATATTATCCATCCACTTTTCAAAAATAAAATCTGAATTATAGTCAGATTTTTTTGATTGATCTATGAAACAGATATTCACTACCAGACTGTGTGTGTACCTTTCATGCATCTCACAGGTGATGTAAATAATCGTCCAAAATAAAAGATCTAAGACCCACCTAAATGACAACTAATTTCAACGTCTATGTCTTTCTCAAATTTGAATAACCCTAATTAAATTATTATATTCATCATCTTAAAGACAGCATTAAGTCATTCTTTAACAAAAACCATCTACTGTAACGCAATAGTACATTTATATTATTAATTTACTAAAGCAGCTGAAAAAACAAGTCTAGTGAATAGCAAAAAAAGACAACAGAAAAAAACATTTGATTAATGATGAACAGATGTTCTTATTCTCATGTGTTTAGTTCAAAGAAAAATTCTTAAAAATTAAGTTGCCACGAATACTCATTCTTCACTAAAGTAACTTAAGTACACTCATGTGACTGACTCCGAGTTTTGTTTATTACATCGAATTTTAAACATTATTCATTTTCTAGGTTTAACAACTGGGTATAAAACAGAACTTTTCTTCTTTGGCTTTTGAATTTATCTAGTCATATGGTAACCCGTCTTTTCTATGTATCATCAGAAGTTGAAATCATACGATCAAAAGTTCACCATATTAAGGCCACATATTTATTCGCTGATTCACTCGATGTCTCATTACATCGTGTTGAATACATGATTACAGGCACTTCGTTGTCGTACTCTAAAATTCACCTTTATGTTCATTATTACTCATCTTTATATCACAAGTACAACTTTTGAGGATTTACACTGAGTCAGTTGGTTTTTTTAAATTTAGTTCCAAAACTAAAACGGTAGGTGTTGGACATTTTAATAAATAAGTTTTTAAGTGAGGATGGCGACATTCTGATCTTAGTTCTCTTGATTTTTGGGCATATCATACTTGTTTTCGTAATTATGCTGTTGTATTTATTATAACTTTTAAGTTAGTATTTGAACTGGTTTAAAGATGATACTCTTGCACACAAATTAACGTCCGCTCACAACAAAGTCAATCTACACCTTTCATTAAAGCCCTGTATACCACGGATGTACAGTAATTG